TTTGTCGTTGCCAAGGTCTTCTAGTAAGGCGTTAGTGGTCTGTAGGTCGATCTGTTGTGCAACGTGTACTTGACTTGGGCATATTGTATGCTGTATATAGCTTGGCCTGCATGCAGGATCTGGCAGTCTTGCATGCATGTGTACAGGGTGATAGGTGCGGTGGGTCTGAGGTTCAGGTCTACTATCGTTTTTTTCTAATGGTGCTGGAGTTTCTTGTGGTGGATTTTCCGGTAGAAGTATTTATGCTTTTTTTGCCATCGGTGACTGAAGTGGAGATGGGGAGAGTAGGTCGGCAGTGGTGGTGGCGGTCTCAGGTAGATCAGGTGAGGCTGCTGATTGGTCAGTGGCTGCGGTGGAGTTTGTTGTTGCTGCTGTTGTGTTTGTTGTATCTTGCGTTGTGGTTACAGGAGTGGTAATATTTACTGGTGCTTGGGTGAGCTTGATTATGTCAGCAGAAGGAGGAGAGTCTGGGAAGGTGAATGCCGGCATGTTGTTTAGTCTAAAAAGTTCATTGATGGTAGTGTTGAAGGAGCCTGGTGCTGCCATGTTGTGCATGTGAGCATACAGTAGGCAGTACTGTATTTTGGTGGAGTCACATGCAGGTGTGGAGGTAGTGGTGGTAGAGTGTTGGGTTGATTTCTGGAGTTTGGTGGTGTCAGCCTGCAGCTTGGCGATAGCAGCATACGTGGGTGATCTGGATGGAGACTTCTTCTGATCTGTTTCTATGTTCTTTTTGATGATTTCACGATGGGTGGGACATTTAGCTGCGAGAGTGTGGTGGTTATTCTTGCAGTTTAGACACTTGAGAGCAGCAGTGGAAGTGCATGTCCTGGAGTCGTGGCCCTCAGTACCGCAGGTGGGACAGAATTTCTTGTCTTTGGTGGGGCAGTCTTTTGTTGAATGGAGGTATGAGAAACAGGTCCAGCATTGAGTGACGTGGTGGTAACGTTCAGCTTCAATGTGGCAGGCGTTGATGAAGTAATAGTAGATGGCTAGTCCCTCAGCCATAGCTTGGGAAGCCATCGTGACGTCAGTAAAGGTGATCTTGAGCATTGAAGAGACCGTGGGAATCTTGGTAATGTTTTCCACGGTGGCCCAAGGGTTATGGTCTTCGACAGATTTTTTGAGGTCTTCGATGGTCTGAGACGTAATCAGTTTGTCCAAGCGCTTCAGAAAGACAGTCCTCTTAGCCCTTAAGACTGGAGAGGTAAAATTCCATACAAAAAACGATACATGACTTCATGCCCACGGGGTTGGAACCTCAACCTACTGAACCTATCCCATATACTTCCCTAGTCATACATGGGGAAAATTCCCTCCACTGGTGCCACTACCCTTCCCACTAACATCCTACACAGTCTACCTATTTTTACCTTCTCCAGATCCCGAACCAACACCAGAGTCCTCAAAACAGTTTCACACTCATGCAACTCTACCCCATTATACATATGTTTCAACCTACAATGTATCTTGACCAACCCTCTCCCACTCACACCTTCCTTCATCACCTCCCTCTTAATGAAGATACACTTGACCCTCCACTTGAAATCCATCAATCCCCCCCCCCTCCGATGCACAGGTAACATTACCACATCCCTTTTAAGCCAATCACAGCCCGAACCCCAAAAGAATTTAAAAACCCTCCTAAGTATGTTCGCAATTGCCGTCCCAGTTAAAGGGAAAACGGCTGTCACGTGCCATACCTTACTATACAATAAGACGTTAATAAAATTGCATGCTGCACAAGGGTCAAATGGTAAGGCCGCAATGCTCCCAAGTGACCCAGAATCCTGTCTACCAACCTAATCGAGTTTTCCACACGGGCAACGTCCAGATCGTCTTCATAGATAAGACCACAAATTTTTAACAAATTCGCCCACCTCGTCAGGACTGCACTACCCCTCCCCACCCAAGCTCCTAACCCCATAACCTTGGACTTTTCTGAATTTACTCTCATATCAATTGCACCTGCGAACATGTTTACTACCCCATCTAAGGCGTCCATTGACATTCCCTCCCTAACCAGAACAGTAGTATCATCTACATACCGTATTAGGACTGGCCAAACCCTCTCAATTCCACTCCCTTCTCCCTCACTAGTGCACATTTGCTGCTCCACCATTCTATAAAAGGGGTCCTCTATGCACGTGAACAATAGCTGGGTCACAGAACACCCCTGTCGAAGTCCCCTACCATTACAAACCTCTTCCTCAGTCTTCCATTAATCTGTACCCTTGTCGTTGCTCCATGATACAACACATCTACCCATCCCACTATTTCTTCCCAAAACCCTGTCCCCTGAGGATAGCTCTCAATGCTTCTCACTCCACTCTGTCATATGCTCCTTGCCAGTCTAGTGCCACCAAACCCCCCCTCCCTGCTTTTTCTTCCACAAAATCCCGTAGTAGCCCATGCTCCCCCACCATAGACCCCCCTGGCAACCCAAACTGAGTTTTCAATGCGACCCACCCTACTACCTACTTAAACCTATTTCCCAAAATGTTAGCGAACAACTTGTAATCCGCGCATAACAACGATATTGCCCGGTAGTCCCTAAGCATATGCTGCCCCTTACCCTTCGGTACCAAGACTACTGCAGCCGTTGCTTGCTTTTCTCCCAACTCTCCCCTCTCCTTCATTAAATTTAATAACCTAACCAAAAACCCCCTCATTAGCTCCCAATGTTGCTGATAGAACTCTGTCCATCGATTCCCGGTGCTTTGCCCTTTCGCATTTCACCTAAAGCCCTCCATATTTCCCCACCCTGTGTTTCCCTATCACTGTTTCCCAACCATCATATCACACTCCCACACGCCTGTTCTAAATCCCCAGCTCCTACCCCTTCCCTTTGCCAATACTGCTCATACCACTTATCTGCAAATGCCCCCATTCTATCTGTAGCTTGTATAACCTGACCCACCCTATACCCACTCACCGACTCATGAACCTCCACCCACGGAATAGCCATTGCCTGCTGTCGTTGCTTTTACCTACACAATACACACGACGACGGCCTATCGCCCCATAACACCTCTTCCACCCCCGCCATTACCCTCACTGCTTGGAACCTCTCGTCCTGTATTTCGCGCAACCTCCCCTTAATTGCCATAATGTCGTCCATAGGATAAGTACCCTCCACTGTCCCTCTTACATAACATCCCGTTAACCTGTCCTTCAAATAGTTAACAAGCCCATATTTTAAAGAAATGATTCATTTCCCCTCTCGCATGTAATAATGCCAAATCTGTTCCTTAGCCACACCATCCCACCACGTCACTACATCCTCCACCCATTTTACCTCCTCCTCCCACAGTGTTGTAAAATCCTCCAACCCCTCCTCATCTCCTAACATATTCGTATTTAACTTCCAGTATCCCCTAGAGATACCAGCTAGTGATTCCCATTCCACCTCTGCCACTACCGCCCGATGATCTGAAAAAGCTACTTCTATTGTATGGGCAAACTTTGACAAGACCCCGTGAGATATATACAACCTATCTAACCTAGCCGTGTAACCCCTCCTTACGAAAGTATGCGCTACCTCCCCCCACCTACCAATCCTCAACTGAACATCCACCAAGAGATTCTGTAAGGCTGCCGACACGTGCCCCACCCCTTTTGGCTCCACATCAGCCCTCCTAATAACACAATTCCAGTCACCACCAACGATGGCCACCACAGGTAAACCACGTAAGGAGAAAACTAGGTCATCACATACAAAATCCTGCTTTACTTTCACATCGTTTTCCGCTGGCACATACACACAAAGGTTACCCTCTGCCCCATCCACCACCCATCCACACGCAACACCCTCCCCCTTCTCCCCTTTCGCTTCGTATCAACACAAACGGGCTCACCTCCTTTATCAATAAACTCGCACCAACTTTCAGACGTGCAGATGGCAGAGTCATTACCTTAAACCCTGCCACCTCCAGCACTCTCCCCTCCCTAAAATTATTTTTCTGTAGAAACACTACATCCACTCTATTTTTACACAGTAGCATACAAAACATTTCCTCTTCACACTATTACACAATCCATTCACATTCACACTCATACACCTAAGGCCTTCTTATAATTTCCAACCTTTCCTCCTCTCCTCCTTCCCAGGGCCTCCTGCCCCAGGGCCAACATATGATTCCACACCATCCACCCATCGAAGCCTCTTATCCTGGCTACCTCAACAATACTCTTCCTTCCTCTCAGACCTTTGCACCGGCGTCAGGACATCGTCTGAGTCTGACGCCGCCGCTCTCTTCCTCGTGATGCCCTCCACTGCCATGTTTTCTTCCGAGGAGTCGTCACGATGGACCTCAGCCTTCACCATGCTCTGTTCCATGGAACACGGCGAAATCTCACGCTTACTGCTTGGCCCGTCATCCCTGCTATGGTTTTTACTGACCCATTCCTCCACAGGCAACGCTGCGCCTCTTACCAGCTCGGGAACATCATACTTAGGAGGCGGCATCAATGTCCTCAACACTTCCTCAAGCTCTTCCTCGAGCGCCATTACCTCCTCCTGCACTTGCACTTCTGCACTCTTCACCTGCCTAGTAACAGTTCCTGTTATGGCACAGCTTGCCTCACACACCACAGTCTCAGCTATGGGATCCTCCACCTCTTCACTCCACAAGCGCCCAAGCCCTTGTTTTCACGTGGGGCTTTCAACAACAGCTTCCACACTGGTAACTTCACCAGTCTGTGCAGGCGCCCTCCTCAGCTTCACACACGCTGCTGCTATATGGTCATATGCCCCACATAACTTGCACGTACATCTCTGTTTGGCGTATTATACCAAAACCTGTGTCCTGAAGTCCTACAACACGACGTAAGATGGTATAGGATGTCTTAGAGTCATCTTCAGGGAAAAGGTTCCCTCCAGACGGCCCATGTAAGCACCAGCCGCCCACTTCCCCTGTTGTGCCAGATGTACGGTCCCATATGCCTCGAAAACACTCCTGATGTCAGCCTCGTCTGCCTCAAATGGGACGTTATGAATCTTAACGCACGTAAAGTGGCGGGATATCGATTAAACGCACCTTCACAGCTGGAGTGGCATCAAGGCTTACGTCTTGGAATCGCATCACCAATGACTCGTACACGGACGTGGAATTCAGTTTTACGAAGATTCTGTATGCCCCATTCAGGGCTACACCATACACCTCATCCTGTATGCCATACGTCTCCCTAATGATGGTCGGGAGTAACACCTGCGCAGACGTGGGTGAAATCGCCCCACGAAGCAGCTCAATACCGATGGTATTTACTCGACGCCTCATACTCAGTACCATGTTGGTACAATGTTGCTCGCCTGAAAACATCAGAGGGGTGCAGAGCACAACCACGCTCTAGTGACCAATAATGGATGTGATTTTTACTTTACATTTTGCTTAAGAAGCTTTTTTCAGTTTCAATTATTGCTTTGGGTCCTGTTTGATTCCTTAAGCACAAGTTCTATATTTTATATTTCTCTTACCAGTGCTCTGTATACACTGAAAAGTTTGCTCAGTAAAAAGTGTTGGTGCACCTGCTGTTTGATTATTCAATACAATAAGACCTACCTGTCATGGATCAGTATTCCTAAGTAGCACAGACCAACCATATTTATTAGGAAGCTTTAAATTAGTAGTAGCTAAACAGCCCCAAGGGAACTGGAGGTAATTCATTGATTTTAACATATCTGTGTTTTTACTTAAGTAAATGAGAATCTTGTTAACAGATTGAGGGCATATTTCAAGGAAAAGAGTAATCAAAGTTTTGGACGATGGATTTCGAAGGCGTCAGTGACTCTTTGGGTCATTTTGGCAGATACCAGAAATACGTGTTTGGTCTCGCTTGTATAGGGTTCTTAATACCTGGAATGCAAGTAGTCTCCATCACGTTTGTCGGCAATACTGTCAAACACAGGTAAGTCATTTATTCTGAAATAAATATATATATATATATATATATATATATATATTATATATTTATTTATATATATTATATATATATATATTATATATATATATATATTATATATATATATTATTATTATATATATATATATATATATATATATATTATATATATATATATTATATATATATATATATATATATATATATAATATATATATATATAGTGCTTTTGTGACTTCTCACATTATCAAAGAACTATGAGATCAATATATCAAAGAAAGGCATTTAAAGGGCCAACTACACCTCACCAACACATCCCACAAGAAAGCAACACCACACACGCGTGACAACACCCGACTCTGTGAAACACACCTAATACTCAAACCAAGAATTAAAGAAGGGGCGAGCAGAATCACCAACTTTTTTTTTATCAGATTTCAATGGGATTGTGACAGTGGATTAAGGTGCTTAAAAAGCAAATAGGCTGTGTTTGTTTTGACTGTTAGCCTTCAAGTTAGAGAGAAAAAAATATTTTTGCAAAATTTTATGGGTCCTAGGACTTTCCAGTTTCTACTAAATTGCAAAGATGTACAATGCTCCAGTTAACATCAGATGAAAGATAAAGACTAGATTAATAATGACACAGAGCAGTTTAATGATAATGTCAGTAGATTCCATAAAAAAATTTGCATTTTTTTTTGTTTTTAAGAGGAAAAAATCATTAACAAAAAACTGTTCACAAAATGGCAAATCCTCCCTGGGTATTTGTAGAACCATCATTCCTCAATAACGTCTGCAAAAATCGTGACAATCCAATGAATACTTATCGCAGGAGAGGGATTACAATGTCAATAACTTATTACTGAGCTTTTTTTCTGTGAAACTAGAAAAGTCGCGCGCCAACTTTCAGCATGCTACACACCCCCTCTCTTCCTTACAGCCTGCCGGCTACTGAGGGACTTTGTCTGCTCTCTACACTAGCCAGCACACAAGTTGCTATGTACAGTATTTACAATGAAATAATCGTAAAAATCGTAATTTTGGGTGGAAAAAAAAACTGCTAATTGCCTACATGTATTTTTGCTGACAGCAGAACAAAAAATACATTTAATGAAAAACATACTTAGAAATATTATAGAAACAAGTTGATTGCATCAAAATCTTGCCGAAATTTTGTACTATTTTTCAGTAAGAAAATATTTTTTTCCATAATTTTTCAATTTTAATATCTTGATCACTGAAAAAAAGGCTCGCCCCTCCCTTAAGATTTTTTTCCTTGTTTAATGTATCATTAAATTCTTTCCAAATTTTATTAATTATTAATGAATCTAATTTATGTAAAACCAAAGGAAATATTTTTTTTTTTTTTTTATTATCA